ATACCCTAGTCACTAAAAGATTTTGGGAAGTTCTCTCCTAGCAGGATTTAAGTGCTAGTGTAGTCATAAAAGTATCATGGTGTTCTCTGAATCACTTCCATGTTAAACTAAATATTAGAAAAATTTTCTAAAAAAGGCAAGTACTGCAAACACCACCTCTAATTGGTTTTGCTACAAGTCTCTTGTATCACACCAGTAACATAGACTCTGCAATAAGAATTTCAATGACAATTGCACTGATTTCTGAGAGTACAATTCACCTAACACTTCTGTAGCAGTATTGGCTCTGTGGTGCTAAGCACAGAGATAACTGCTTATTAGAGATAAGCAGACATGGTAAGGTACCATTACTACACAATGACTTGTCAGGATTAAAAGCTGATTTAACTGATAGTAAAGGAAGTCATCATAACTTGCTGCAGATCAAAGTAAACAGGGGGTATAAGTCAGTCTTATAAAGACCTTTCTAAATTATTTTAATTTAAAAAAAATTAATGAGAGTTTTATTATACTTGGAAGATTGGATTGCCTTGTCTCTCAGCTCTGCCCCTCTAAAGAGTTAAGGAGCAGCGCTGACTGACTTCAAAGGAAATCTAGGCCTCCTCCAGGAGGATTATTACATTACAGTAAGGGGAGGGCAGAGCCATACTTGCTCAGGGAAACAGAATCCTTCTCCCCAAACTGTTAAAATACTTTTATATATTTGATAGAGAATAATGGGTTTGAGGGATCAGGTACCACAGCATGGCAAGGTCAGAATCACTAATATTCAGGGTCCAGCAATCAACACCAAATACTTCAGAGGAAGGAAGCGAGTACGCTGAATGTTTACACTATTAATGATTATTGTGATTTATGGGGAAGAGGGAGTTACTTTCTTCAGAGCTTAATATGGAATGTTATCACTATCATCGTCTTAAAAGAGTAAATATTGAGTTAAGTACACAGCTATGTGCCAGAAAGACCCACTAAATAGCTGCTTGAGCTACTACAAACATGTGTTAGCCTTCAAGTCCCTCCCCCCCCCCCCCAGACTCCTCCTGTTTGAAGATATCACACAATGCATCATGTTGACATCAACACTGGTTACAGTGAATTAGCATTTAATGCTCTACAATGGGATAGCTTCAGCAAAGCTGGAGTTTCCAAGTTGACTTGAGGGAGGTGCAAAATAGCTTACAAATTATTTCAGTACCATAAGATCCCATATTCTGGTAATGTAAGAAGATATCTGCAGATGTGTACTAAAGACAATTTTTATTATTGCTTTGTAATTCACCGTTACATGCCACTAAGCTATACAAATTACTGTTGTCACAAAACTAACATGTGTTAGGATCTGGCTGAGGAACATGGGGTACATCATGCTCTCCTTTGTGCTTGGACAGTGTGTTGTCCCCAGGTGTAAATTACAGCAAGTATCATAGAAGATTAGAGTTGGAAGATCCCTCAGGAGGTCATCTAGTCTAACGCCCTGCTCAAAGCAGGACCAACCCCAACTAAATCATCCCAGCCAGGGCTTTGTCAAGCTGGGCCTTAAAAACCTTTAAGGATGGAGATTCACCACCTCCCTAGGTAACCCATTCCAGTGCTTCACCATTCCATTAGTGAAATGGTTTTTTCTTGATATCCAACCTAGACCTCCCCCACTGCAACTTGAGACCATTGCTCCTTGTTCTGTCATCTGCCACCGCTGAGAACAGCCAAGCTCCATCCTCTTTGGAACCCCCCTTCAGGTAGTTGAAGGCTACTAGCAACTCCCTCCTCACTCTTCTCTAAACAAGCCCAATTCCCTCAGCCACTCTTTGTAAGTCATGTGCCCCAGCCCCCTTATTTTCATTGCCCTCTGCTAGACTCTCTCCAACTTCTCCACATCCTTTCTGTAGTGGGGGCCCCAAAACTGGGCACAATACCCCAGATGTGGCCTCACCAGTGTCGAATAGAGGGGAATAATCATTTTCCTCAATCTGCTAGCAATGCTCCTACTAATGCAGCCCAATATGCTGTTAGTCTTCTTGGGAACAAGGGCACGCTGCTGACTCCTATTCAGTTTCTCATCCACTGTAATCGCCAGGTCCTTTTCTGCAGAACTGCTGCTTAGCCAGTTGGTCCCCAGCCTGTAGCAGTGTATGGGAGTCTTCCGTCCTAAGTGCACTTGTCCTTGTTGAACCTCATCCGATTTCTTTTGGCCCAAACCTCCAATTTGTCTAGGTCTATCGAACCTATACCATTGTTATCAGCCATCCTGAGCTTTGGGAAGCTGCCAAGATTGCAATTTTTGCAAGTAATTTCCATTTCAATATTATTTAATTCTGAGTTCTAGAGAAAAATCTCTATTCATTGTTTATGGTCTGAATTGACTTAAAAATCTACTGAAACTTTATATTATTGGAAGTCAATTTTCTATGCAGTCAGAGAGGTTATACTGTAATGTAATAATTTTAATTTTGTTTTTAGGAAATGTCAGAAGAGGAGAAGCAAAGACTACTGCTAAAGAGGAGAATGCTTGCAGCAAAACTTAAAGAAGAAGTTATTAACAAGCGCTAAGTTTCAAGAATCTCATTGTAAAAATACTTGTGGACAAGAATTGAATTTCTTTTAGAATAAATTATTTAACCATAAACTGCTTGCTTTCAAACACAGTATACTGTTGATTTTCCACAAGACATGAGCAACTCATTTATTCATATACATAATATTTAAAACTAAATTGCATCCACAGTAGTAAAAACTTGATTTCACACACTAACCCAGTGGGCCAAGATTTTCTGAAGTGCTGACTTCTCTGGCATCTGCTAGATGCATAGCACTTTAGAAAATCAGGCTACCTATTTAGGTAGCACCTAATAATTATGATGTATTTTATTACCATAACACCTAGGAACCCTAGCCATGAACCACATTGCCCTTGTGCAGTAAGGACTTAGGATCCTACCTTTAGGCACCTGTTTTTTTAAAAGCTTTGCCATAGCCACTTATTTAAAATTACACCTTTGTTCTATTTAATATATAAAAAATTCAAACACCTCTACATGTTGATGGCTACTTCCTTTTTTCAAAACACATACTAGAAATGTTCATAGCATGGAAAACACCATCTACAGAATTCTTAAATCAGTTATCTAACAGAGATAAAAATACAGAACTTGGTTCTTTTCCTTTTATTACTCTTCAAAGAAACATTACCCCTTTCAAGTGTCAAATATGATAAAGTCTAAACAGGGAAACACCATCTTGAGAGTTTTGTTTGAGACACAGGAAATGAAGATGAAGCTTCTGAAGTCATGAGAAACAAACTTCATACTAACACTAGATTCCATTGTTTTTATAAATCTTTTGGGCCAATTTAACAGTAACTAAGCCTGTGTTTTGTGGCAAAGTACAACTTTTAAAAGTAAACATTTGTTGTCTCGGTTAAATAAAATGTGAAAGCACTTATGAACTAGTCCCATAATTCAAAATTTTGAAAACAATTTTTTGCCATTTTGTTCACTACAATTCACTACTGTCTGGTCATAAATCCTGCTTAGAACATTTATCTCAGCAAAGAGGCTGTAATCTGTAAGGTTTCATCACTAACAATGCTTGATTGGCGCAATAACTGAGTAAAAAACCACCCAACCAATCAAAATTTCATGTAACTTTTTATTAAAATAGTATTTATAACTGATACATGTTGGCAGATGTATTTTTTTTTTTTAAATCTGTAGTGGAGGGGCCCCAGGCATTAGAATGTATCTGTCCCCTAGCAGAATGCAGACAGCATATAATAAGTCATAGATAAAGGAATCTTTGCCTGAGGCAGGTGACCCTGGATGCTAGCCAGTTTGAGTGGGAGCTCCATATGTCACACTCCAAAGGGGGTTTAAAAAGTTTGATAAAAATGTTCAGACCTTAAGGTGACATCAAATGTCTCTTCATATAGTTTTATTCTTCTAGAGTAACTATAAAAATTCACAACATTCACATATTTGCTATAGAATAAAGGCTCATGAGCTGGTCTGAATGTATCCTTAAAGCTCTTGGCAGTTCTTCAGAAAGGAAAAGTTACAGGGGAAAAAAAATTAAAAATCAACACTTTTTAAATCAAAGAACTTTGTTTAGGGTAATTTTTATTAGAAAAAATTGGATTGCGGTCAGGTGATGTTTTCAGCCTCTGAAGGGGAAAGGCACACTCTGCATCACTTTGGAGCCTTCTTAGTGATAACTATAAATTTGTAGGAAATTGTCATTTTTAAGCATGGAGAGACACGACTTGTCAGGAAAAAAGAAAATTGAGATCTGGAGAGGAAGCACATGATGATGATATTCCAATCACACTTGAACCAGCTTCCCTACTCACTGCCTTTGAGTTGGAGGCTAAGAGGAGAGGCCACATTCTTGATTGCCTGGAGCCCATAAGGGGCAACAATAATTCCCTCAGATCCACCCGCATTAACTGTCATCAATCAGAATGTTTTGTATCTAGCTTACTGGTTGATAAGAACTCCTGCATTCTGGTTGGTATTTGATCTAGTGGTATATAATATTTTTTTTAAACTGCATGAATAGTTTGTCTTATTAAAGAATACTTTAAAATGGCCACGTTCCAAAATTATGAGTTAACTTACCATGTACAACAAACCAAACAAAAGCAATAATTATGGAATTACAGGGTCACATTTTAATTCCTGAATGTTACAGTTCAGCATTTATATCACCACATGTATACAAATGGTGTAAAACAAGTACTGTGGTATTTTAATACAAAATAAACTTCTGTTTTATGGAAAAAACTATACTTCATATCTACACAGACAGTCCATATTTTCCAAACAATAGCTAAAATTAAAATTAACTACAAAATCTCCAAAACAGGTAAACCTGTTTCAGTTTAAACTATTCCAGGAGAAATGGACCCATAACACATATTACAAGAGTGATCTATGTGGTGGTTTGCAGCTGGTTTCATAGTTTAGCATCTCTGACACCTTAATTGTAGTTTGGTGGGGTTTTTTTCCCCCTCACTTCAGCATGATCTCAGATCATATAGGGGCAACTAACATTAAAATATTTACAGTTCACTTGCTGCTCTTTGAAAATAAAACCTCTTAAACTGTTTACCTCCATCAATTTACCTGTTGTTGTTTTTTTTGGTTGCAATTAGTTTACGTTCATGGAATGTGCTTTTACTCTTTAAAAAGCAGCTTTCATATTACACCCAGGTTCAGATGCTGAATGTTGATTCTGCCTCAAACAGACTGGTATATTGTTAGTAATAATTCCATCTTGGTCCAAAATGGCTTCTGGGTGTTAAATGCCACTTTTCAAAACCTTTGTTAGTGTTTCTTATTACCACCTCAATTACACAATTTAAACCTACAAATGCAAAAACGCACCTGCTGCTCAAGGACGAGAGCTTCACTAATAAAACAGAAAGTGACTCAATTCAGTATCTTCTATCACCTGAAAAACTGCTAGCTGTACTTAGTGTGTAGTTTAAAGTACTAGTTTATTGATGCTAGCAGTTTCTGGAGATCTTTTTGGAAGCTACCAATCCTTGGCATAGATATTGCTGGATATCCAATTTAAAAAACAATCAAATTAATTGACCTGTCCATTATCCAGCTTGCTTTTTTTTCTCTCCTCTTCAAAATGTGAGTTGAAAAGTTCATGTTTTTTACAACTCAACATGCACTGTTATTCCAGAAGCTCCCCACTCCATTTGTCAGACATTTTATTAAATTTGCAACTAATGGTCCCAAAATCTGAATTTATTTTTATGGAAATAGAATTATTTTCCCTTCATTTTTTTAAAAAAAGAGGCAATTGCTAAAAGAACAAAATGGACAGCACCATTACAAAATTAAGATTACTGGGTTTACAACTGAAGCTTTACATTTTTTTTCTAGGTCTGTTACACACTGGAGAAACCCTGCAATATTAAAAGTTGTTAACCACACCTTCCTCCCTCCCAGTACCCTCCCCAAACCTGAGACTTTCCTTGCTGAGAAGCTGTCATCCAGGTTCTGATTACTAACCCTCCCCCCACCCCTCCCAACTGAATGGCAGACTCCTTATTTTACTAGAAAGAGATTAAGTTCCTTGGAAGCCTGATGTTTGCAGAACTAAACCTTTCTCACTGATATACTGAGTTTCTTTTGCTACTCCTTGTATTATCTTATATATTCAAGGGAGAAAGCTTTCTGATTCAGACTCTTTAGCTCTTTGATCAGTTGCAGCATTTAAGACCTCATAATATACATTTATTTCAATGTTTTTATGAACCAAGACGAGGTCTTTTCCTTGGGGATGTCTCCTCTTCTTCCTCTTCCTCTTCATCATCTGGATAATCCACTAGGCCAACTAGACTTCCCTGCTGATTTTAAAGAAAGAAAACCTCACATTTGAAAAAAATTCATCTCCCAGAAATGCACAGCTGTAATGAAAATACCAGATCCCCCTTGATCAGCTGTCTAGGACAAAGCTTCAGAAGATTAGTGTATTAGGATAGCATGCAGTAGGTTTACAGACTTCCAACTACAATAAAAAAAAAAGCTTACAGAGTGTCTGGGCATATGAAACAGAAAATGATAAGATGTCTAACACTCATTTGTTGAGAAAAGTTGTCACCAATGAGGTACTTGGACCCAGGCTGACCTATAATGTAAATCTTGCAATGTATCAAGGTAAGATTATGTTTTCTGTATAAAATCAAGGAAAATACTAGTATTGAAAACTGGTTTTCCACTGTTTGAATTTAAACGGTCTCACACTATTTAAAAATCTTTAATCCTATTATCTTTTATGAATGTCCATTATTTCCTTCTTAGAGACCTGAGGATCCCCTTCTCACCCTTCAATCCAATTTATACTTCTCCCTTTTTAAAAGCCATATAAACAGTGATTTATCCTCTAGGCTGAGGGTCTGATGAGTTCCCATTTTAAAAATACTCCTCTTCCTCCACCTAAGTGAAACTGGTGAAAAGGACACTACTATTTGCAGCAAGAGCTTGGGGATAAGGTAGTAAGTTGACTAGAGATTAACCACTGGTCTCTCACTGTAATATGAGTCTTCAACTAAGTACCAACCAAGTCCTCTGCGTGTCTGCTTAAAGGCATTAGCATGAATTCCATAACTGTGGTTCCATCGATATAGACAGTTCAGAGGAAACAGAGTGTCTTGTTAATGCCACATCTCAGAAAACAGTAAGAAAAATGTTTGTATTGAGATAAAGGAAATCTGGTTATCTCAATAACTTAAGACTCCTGCCATGACTAACAGCTTGTTTAATACTTGGGAATTTGAGCCCCTCATGTCAGCTGGAAATGCAAGATTGGTGACTAGTTGGTAAAATCTACAAGAGCTTGGAATTGCTAAAAGAAAAGTGTTTTTACGCTCGCCAAAAATTAGTAAAATGTGACTGGACTTGAAATATTTTATCCTTAACTAGTCCATCAAAGACAGACTGCCCTCAGTCTTGTTTCTATTGTCACACAATACAGGACTTAACACAGTACAAATCAGTATGGTTTCATTAACGTGTTAGAAAGATGAAAACTCATACTCTTACTCTTTCTGGAGTAGGTAATGTCTGCTTTTACAAATGCAAGTTCTCTCACCTTAGCGGTTGTTACCGCTGTAGTCAAGTTTGTGTTCTTTGAAGAGGAACCATTAGAACTTGCTGGTGATGTCTGAGCTGCTACAGATTTGTTTGTACTATTTGCTCCATTAGCTGCACTGGCAGAGTGGGAAAAAGTGAATTTGAATCCACCAGCTGAAGTCCTTTTTGGGAGATTCTCTTTGTCTTCACTCTCTTTAGCTGAAGGACAAACATTTTAATATACATCAATTATACAGGTTTTTCACAAATCTACACCCCCTTTGAAAAAGTCACTTTACACTATGTTGCACACCCACACTGCAACCCAGAAAATAGCTGAATTTAAACTAAACAGCTGCTGAAAGGCATCTTCCAGAGAAGGGGGAATGGAATCAATGTCCTAAATATAGGACCAGGCTAAGTAGGTCAAGCAAAGGTAAATCTGGCCAATCAGGAGTGTTTGGTAAGAATATAGAAATGAGTCTAATTCACCCTGCAAACATGAAACTTCCAATCAACAGCATCTTTTGGAGAAAATTAACCAAATTGGCAATTGAAGAAGTTTCTAGTTCCAATCTTGTTCTCAAAAGCATATTAACATTTTATTTACTGACTAGAATAAAAAAACATTTTTGCTTAGAATTTAGAGAACAAAACAAATGGTTGTCATAAGTATTAACATGAAAACACTCCACACAGGAGAGGTTACTTACTGGTACAGTAACCAGAGTTCTTAAAGGTATTTTGTCCCTATGAGTGCTCCACTTTAGGTACATGCATGACTGTGCACTTTCAATTGGAGATTTTTGGTTCATGGGTTCTGCACCAGTACCCTATATAGCCTTGTGCTCTGATCGAAGGGCATATAGGGGAGGGTGGACTTCCTGTTCCTTCTCCATCACGAAATCTGGCCAGAGGCAAGGACTCCGAAGTAGAGGGGATGGAAGGCAGGTAGAAGAACACCCACAGGAACAAAACATCTTGAAGAACTCCAGTTACTGTACAAGTAAGTAACCACTCCTCCTTCAAGTTGTTGTTCCTATCAGTGCTCCGCTTTAAAGGACTTCTGAAGAGTGCCCAAACTAAATCTAGTACTGATTCAAGAACAGATCCATCAAAGGCTGCATCTGCCCTGGAAGCACATCCGATAGCACAGTGCTGGGAAAAAGTATGCAAGCACAACCAGGTGGCAGCTTTATAAATGCCTGCAGCAATCTGTATGTTTTTAGTCAGAGTAACCGAAGTTGCCTGGGCAGTCACCCTCGTTGGGTGTGTGCGTGCGCACTCAAAAAGCTTCATAACATGCCAAAATGCACCCTGAGACCCATTTTGATCGTCTTTGGGTGAAAACATGCTCCCATTGTCCTATATGTGAAAGAGACAAAAAAAGACTAGGAGAGGCTCTGAAGGGCCTAGTTCTTTTGAGGTAGAATGTGAGGGCTCTTCTTAAGCCTATAGTGTGAAGACTAGGTCTTCCTTTGAAACATGAGGTCTGGAGTGGAAGATTTGCAACTGAACATCCTGGTTGATGTGGAAGTCCGACGACACCTTGGGCAGGAAGCAGGAATGGGCATGTAGAGTCACCATGTCCCAGTAAAAATACTGGGCAGGCTGGATCTGCCACAGGGGCTCCCAATTCCCCTAACCTTTCTAGTCAAAGTGATGACTACGACAAAGGAGGTTTTGAAGGACAAATGAGGAAGGGTATTTTCTCTAGTTGAGAATTAAGCTAAAGGTCCCAACACGGAGCAGGACCTCTGGTATGAGGAAAAAGTTTGGTTAAACCCTTAATAAACCTTGAAGTAATAGGGCATGAGAATACTGAAAATCCCACAACCAGTATATAAAAAGCTAAACTAGCAGCCAGGTGGACTTCGATGGAGCTCAGTGACAAACCCAAAGTTTTTAAACTCAGCAGGTACTCTACTATGAGATGATGCCTGCTGTAGCAGGACTAAAATTGCTTCCACTTTTGCAGGCAAGTCTTTCTTGCAGAGGGTTTCCTACTATTCAACAGCACATTCTGTATTTAAAAAGAACAATCCATTTCTACACCTGAGAGCCATCGAGGACCCAGGGCTTGAGATGTAACATGGAGAGATTGGGATGAGTCATTGTCCCCAATTCTTGGGACAGTAGGTTTGCTGTCAGAGGCAAGTGGAGAGAGGGACTCAGGCAAGTTCAGCTGCCCTATTACTAGAGAAATTCTCCAGCCTCCATTTTGTCTGCTTGATCTGTATTCTGAATAAGCAGGAGCTACTCCACTCTAAGATGAAAGCTGCAGATCTTGAGCAGGCGCAGTACTAACACAGGATGAAAAGTTCAGTTAATTGGCAGAATGTTCAGGAGTGCCAGGATGGCGCTCGGGCGAAAGGCCCAGTAGGTGAGTGGGTCAGCAGAATCATAACTCTGAAGTAAACAGCAACAGTGAGTATGTGCAGAAAAAAAGGGGTGACAGAAAGGTCAAGCTGCCTCAGCCTGAACTGACTTAGGCCAATTTGGGGCTGCCTCTTCTGATAGAGGAAGATGAGGTAATGCGTATTAGAACTGTATAAAAAGACTGTGCTGGCAGTCAGTCAGGCGCCTGCGAGGAAAGCAGTCGGGGGAAGACAGATGAAGAAATTAGAAACCAGCAAGGAGAGCTGCTAAAGAATTATCAGAAACTGGGCTTGTCTGCACTTACCGGGGGATCGACACAGCGATCGAAGCACTGGCAGTCGATTTAGTGGCTCTAGTGAAGACCCGCTAAATGACCGCAAATCACTCTCCCATCGACTCCTGTACTCCACCGGATCGAGAAGAGTAAGGGGAGTCAACGGGAGAGCGTCTCCCGTCGACATCACGTAGTGTGGCCCCCGCGGTAAGTAGATCTAAGCTATGTGGACTTGAGTTATGCTATTGACATATGACAAATTGCGTAGCTCAGATCGACTTTTCCCTGTAGTGTAGACAAGGCCTAGTGTAGAGACAGAGAAGAAGACCAGAACAAAACGAAGCTGACTAACCAGAACTGAGCAGCAACCATGATTAAAGAATTCCAAAAAGTTTATAAAAAGCAGTAACAGCAATTAAAGGATATCAAAGGATTTATAGAGTAAGTCTGCCAGCTTTTAAATATAATTTTTAGTGTAGTCTAGCATAGTATTTAATATGTGTATGCTTGAAATATATGTGTGCGTTAATAAGAATGCATGAAATAGTTAATTGCAACTTACGTAAAATTTAGCGTTTAATTTAAGAACTGTCAGCAATTTGTTACAAATTGGCCATTTGTAGCAAACGGCTTTGCTTAGAATAATTTAAATTGTATGCTACTGCAGTTTGAATGCTCTAATTTACAATTAGGGATTTGTGTCTGATTTCAATTTTTAGATTACCGTATATACTTGTTCATAAGCTGAATATTTTTGGTAAAAAAATGACACATCAAAGAGCGGGGGTCGGCTTATAAATAGGTCTACTCCAAAATTTGGAGATTTTAAACTCTATGGCAGGGGTTGGCAATCCATGGCACGCGTGCCAAAGGCAGTACACAAGCTGATTTACTGTGGCATGCTGCTGCCAGCCTGGTGTCCCTGCCACTGGCCCCACTCAGCCCACTGCCGGTCTGAATGGATGAAACCCCGGGCCGGCAGTGGGCTGAATGGGGCTGGCGGCAGAGACCCCGGCTGGCAGGGGTCGGCAGACAGAACCCCAGACCGGCAGAGGGCTGGGTGGCTCAGTCTGCTGCCAGCTGGGGTCCCAGCCGCCAGCCCCGCTCAGCCTGCTGCCGGTCAGGGGTCCCAGCCGCCAGTCTGCTCAGCCTGCTGCCAGTCTGGGGTTCCATCCGCCGGCCCCTGTAAATGTAAAATATATTATTGGCACACAAAACCTTAAAATTACTGCGAATAAATGAAGACTTGGCACACCACTTCTGAAAGGTTGCCGACCCCGTTCTATGGAATCATTGAATTGAATATCTAATACACTGTCGTTTTGTTTACCTGGAGCGTCTGCAGGCATGGAGCCCCTCAGCTCTCTGTGGCCACAGTTTGCCGTTGTGGCGCCACTTCCCACAGCTCCCAATTGGCTGGGAACGGCAAACTGCGGCCATAGGGAGCTGAGGGCTCCATGCCTGCAGACGCTCCAGGTAAACAAAACGACAGTGTATTAGATATTCAATTCAATGATTCCATAGAACGGGGTCGGCAACCTTTCAGAAGTGGTGTGCCAAGTCTTCATTTATTCGCAGTAATTTTAAGGTTTTGTGTGCCAATAATATATTTTACATTTACAGGGGCCGGCGGATGGAACCCCAGACTGGCAGCAGGCTGAGCAGACTGGCGGCTGGGGACCCCGACCGGCAGCAGGCCGGGGGGGGGTGGGGGGGGGGGGCCCCGCG